TTGTTGCATGGTGCAGAGTTATCAATCTGCTTGTCGGCTTTCACCCTAAACCTCACGCACCCCATGAAGTTAACAGACCATGGCGAGGTAGCACCTTACTGGCTAGGCAGGCAGGAGCTACCCAGTGAGGTGCAATGACCTCTCCCACCATCAGAAGTAGCCCCTGATACTAGAACTAAGCTTTTTGATTCAGTGGTTTCATGCCAGAGTTTCCTTTGTAGTTCTTACTTCAAGAAGGGCAACGTGACTTCTATCTGATAAGGGACAGAGATTTAAAGACTTGAGTGATTTCTCAAGACTGTATTTCTTGGTGTCAGACTGATTGATTTATTGATTGGCAGAAGCAGGACTGGACTTGAATCTAAAGAAGACAAAAATAATTATTACAGACTACAGCAGAATTACATAATTTTAATATTGACAATGAAGAAACTGAAATAGTTAAAAGATTTCCTATATATTGGCTCGGTCATGAATCAAAATGGAGATTAGCCAATAAATTTGAAAGAGGTCTGAGACTTGAAAGGGCAGCTATGGAGGAACTGGAAGAAAGCAAGGATCTATCGCTGGAGACTGTGGTCAAGATCAGTGGTTCTTAACCTTTGTTACTTGGATGCTTTTGAACTGCAACTCCCAGAAACCCCAGTCAGGACAGCTGGTGGTGAAGGCTTCTGCGAATTGCAGTCCAAAACTCCTGAGTAACCCAAGGTTAAGAACCAGTGGTCAAGATCATACATACTATGGTATTTCTAACTGCTACACTGCATAAAGATGTGAAACGTGGATAGTAAAGAAAGCTGACAGGAAGAAAACTGATGAATTTGAAATGGAATGGAGATGCAACATGGAATGTCAAATAGACAAATAAGTGCTAGATCAAATCAAGCCTAAACTCTCTTTAGAAGCAAAAAAGTAATAGATTATCATATTCTGGGCATGTTGTGAGAAAAGAACAATGCTGGGAGAAGTTGAGCACAGCAGAAAAAGAGGAAAACTGATTCAGTAAAGGAAGCCACAGCTTTAAGATTGCAAGATCTGAGCAGGGATGCTAACACTAAGACCTTTTGGAGGTCATTAATGTATGGGGTTGACATAAGTCGGAAGCCACTTGACAGTACATAACAAAAGGCATTAGAGACTGATAGTGTTGCATAGAAGAGGCTGATAGGTTTGTTTTGGGGAGGAAATAGAAGACCAGTAGTGTTGGATGATAGTGTATAATGCTAAGGCAGACTTTTTTTTTAAAAAAAGTGGGCTGTAGCCCTTCAAATTAATCCTACTATATTTTATGGGTCCTTAATTTGGTGCCGGACTCTTTGCTCCTTTCTTATAGCAACATATATTACATCCCATCGCCCCTGTGAAGTGAAAGAGGCGACTTATGTTAAAAAAAAAGAACACAGGGAGATTGCTGTGTAAACTCTAAGACAGATGCCCTCCAAAAGCAACGTTTTGGGAATTAAAAACAGGCAGAAGAGGGTGTAAAGATGCCTCTGCTCTGGCTTTTCCCGGGTGTAATAGATTCAATGGAGGTGAAGGAGTTAATGAAGCCCAGGGACTCGGGCTAAAAAGTGTGTGTGGGCGGGAATCCATGTCTCCACCCTTTCCCTCGGATTTTCTTGTGTGTTTTTTTTTCAAGCTTCCTGCTCTATAGGGAACTTGGATTGCGAGACCAGAAAGTTTCAATATCTTAGCGAGTGACGCACGACAAGGCCTAGCCTACAGATGTAAGGGGACAAGCTGGCCTCGTTATGGCCCCACTGGGGCTGGTCCCAGTTTTCCTGGCTGTGGTAAGTGAGGAGAACCCCGAGGGGAGCGGAGCGGGCTGGGAGCAGAGGAGGGCGGGAGCCGCTCTCCTGAGCTGTATTGTATGTCTCGCATTTTTTGTGGGGGTTGAGGGAGAACCAGTCAAAGCAAGGAACGCCAAAAGTGCCTTTTTGTTTTTGCTCCTGGCCCTCAAAGAGGACTGAGTTCCATGTCGATGAGGGTCGACTGCTCCCTTTTCTGGAGGCTCGGAAGCCAACGCCGCCGCGCACTCCTTGGAGTTGCTTCCGGTAGAAAAAACAGACAAGACAAGCATAAAAACCCTGATTCGGTTTTGGGCCTGCGGTGTAGTTGTGGTGTGGGTGCTCTCTCGTGTGCGTGGGCATTGAGCCAGAACTTGGGAAAGCATGGCGTGGTTTCTTTTCTTTTCTTTTCTTTTTGGTACTACCAGAAACCTCCATGCTAACTGGGAATGGCGGGTGGTTGTCTTTTTTTTCTTAACAAGATAAATGTTTCCAAGTTCTGGGATGTTCTTGTTTGCCTTCAGATGACACTGAACCCTTGGTAAATAAATAAATTATAAATAAATAAATAAGTTATAGATAAATCTAGATAAATTATAGATAAATAAATAAATATTGTTAGGCAAACTCCTCCCTGCCACAACTTCGTAATTTTTCCTCAGAATTTCAATTATGGTGAGTTGGCAGCACATATACTCTTTACTTGTCAACAGGGGCTGAGAAACTGTGGCCCTGCAGATAGTAGTGTTGGGTTGCCACTCTCATAGATGCCAGGCAGCAAGAATATGGCCAGGGATGATAGGATCTGTAGTTTAACAGCATCTGGAGGTGTACAGGTTCATTATCCCAGACTATTGCTTTGAGACCTACTAATAAAACAATAAACTAAAGGGAAATCCCCTGGAATCTGTCCAGCATAGGGGTCAGCAGCTGGTGAACTCTGGGCTAAATTTAGCCTTCTGGGGGATGATTGCATAGGATATACTGAACTGCTGTCAGTTCCAGAGGGAAAGTTGGCATGGTCATAGTCACCATTGGTAACAATGGACTGTGACAGCAGACCTGTTAACTCAAACTAGGTTTCAAAAGTGGCCCCAAAGAGCCTGTAAAGTATTATACTGTAGTAGGTTAGCAAAAGCCCAGTGATTCACCAAAATGTGTGACTGTAACAACTAATGTTACTCATCATCCAAAATGTTAACACTGATGCTTAAAATTAATGAGCATCACATTTGCTTCGAACATGTGTCTTCTAAGTTATCAGCTGAAAGAAATCAGTTACTGGTCAGGTCTAATGTCCCCAGCCTCACTCTTGACCATTATATTTCGCAGAAGAAAGAAATTTCACTGTGCAAAATGAGCCAGAATCCTGTTGCCAGTTTAGACTTGGATGAGGGAAGGCTCGCTGATATAGGCAGGAAATTGTTGTTTGTTAATACAGTGGTGCCTCGCTTAACGATTGCCTCATTAAACGAAGAAAGCACTTGACAACGTTTTTGCGATCACAAAATGATGTTCCTATGGGGAAAATTCGCTTAACGATGATCAGTTCCCTGCTTTGGGAACCGATTTTTCGCTATATGATGATTTTGAAACAGCTGATCGGCGGTTCTAAAATGGCCGCCCACTGTGCAAAATGGCTCCCCGCTGTGTTTTCAGGATGGATTCCCCGCTTTGCAGGCAGCAAAAATGGCCGCCCCATGGAGGATCTTCGCTGGACGGTGAGTTTTCAGCCCATTGGAACACATTGAACCGGTTTCAATGCATTTCAATGGGCTTTTTCGTTTCGCAAGACAATGTTTTCGTAAGACAGCAATTTTTGCGGAACGAATTAACATAGTATTGTGAGGCACCACTGTAAGGTGCTGGCTGCATCCCTGGACATACGTTTGATATTTGCCTTATACAACCGTTCATTGGCAGTAGGATTCTACCCATGATGTTCTAAGGCAGTACAGTAGTAGGCAAAGTAAGTGCAAAAGAATAAGGACCTGATGCTCTGAAACTACATTCTACATTGAGCACCTCAGGTTTTTATGTCACACACTCACATATTCAAGAGACTGACAAAATTGAAGGGGAAAATTTTCCTTTCAGTTCTACCAACATGCTGAGACATGCTGAGGGTGCAAATGCATTGATAGTTAATATGAGAAATGCTCCAGGAGTAGGATTGTCTGATTCTCATTATTTTTGGACAAAAATCAGTGTGAATCAACCTTCAGTTTTTCCCCCACGATCCATAATTTTTTTCTCTGCCACTGGGGATTCTATTATTTTGCAGTGAAATGCATTCACATTGGTTTAGATGGTGTGATCGCTTGAGCTAATATGGGTGGGTTTGTAGCCATTGTATTTAAAGCCATGCCAGCCTGCTATAGCAGCAATGAGGGAGGGAAGGCAGCGAAGAATCATCTCTTCACTACTCTAGGTGTCAGGGTCTGGTTTTACTTTCCCTTCCCCTTCATTTTTTTCCTTTTCCTTTTTTTATTTTAAAGGCTTTCAAAACAAGGGCTGGGGCATCTAGATGACCAAAGGAGGGGGAATGGCAAGGAATTATTTAACAATAGCTCTGGCTGGCTGTAGCATATCTACCTTAACAAGCTGGAAACAAGGGTGAATTGAAAACTGTCTCTCTGCTGATTCCTCTCTCCCCTCTTGAGTTACTAGCTGACCCAGTGCTAGGAAAGCAAGCTTTTAGAAGGGGAAAAATGGAAGGGAAGAGGGAAACAAGCAGAACCAGGCACCAAATTTGTTTGGATGGGGAGGACTTAAATGTTTAACAAGCTGTAAACAAGGCTGAATTCCATCCCGCTCTGTCCTGAAGCAAATTAACTCAAGGAAATCCAACTTACTGAGTGTGACTTCATAGTGGATTCTTTCATATTTTCCCTGCTGTGTAGTAAGTCCTTTAGAATATACAGGAGAGCAATGTCTATGTGATTTCTCTGAATCCTATCTGCTTAGTGAAAGCTTTGGGTTTAATAGGACTAATTGCCATTAAAATGAAGGCACTCTGTTAGACTTATAGACATACAAGGTGGGGTGTAAGCACCATTCTTTATTCTTATGGCTATATTTTGGCTGTCACTGGCATGGGACATTGTAGAGGAAAGTACCTTGAGCATATTGAAAGCTTTGAAATACAGTGGTGCCCCGCATAGCAACGATAATCCGTTCGGATAAATTGTTGCTATCTGGAATTGTCGCTATATGGGGCAAAAAAACCCATAGGAACGCATTGAAACCCCTTCAATGCGTTCCTATGGGGGATAAACTCACTGTTCAGTGAAAATCCTTCATACGGCCGCCATTTTCGCCGCCTCAGTAAGTGAGGAAATCTTTTCGCTGCCTCGGTAAGTGAGGAAATCACGCGAAAACGCTGCGGGCGCCCATTTTCTTCACCCGGTGGCCATTTTGAAACCGCCAATCAGCTGTTGGGGAAACATCGCAATGCGAAGAGCGGTAAGTGAAACGCTTAACGATCATCGCAATGCGATGTTTACCCATTAAAAACATCGCAATGCGATTGCTTTTGCGATTGCCAAATCCGCATCGCTATGCGGATTTGTCGTTAAACGGGGTGCTCGTTATGCGAGGCACCACTGTAGATAGAACACAATAGTATTTGACAGAGGACACTGTACTGGGCATAAGTGTGTGTGTGATCTGGGGTGCCCCACAGCTGATTGTGTGATGCAAAGCCCCAGTTCCTTATTTTTAGTGTTCATTTTGGCTTATTGTGTATTAATGTGCTTTGTGCAAAATGATACTGTACTTTTGACAAGGGGAAACTATTGTTTATCTTGAAGGAGCCTGGCACCTGATCACAGAGAGATCAAACTTCTCTAAACTGAGATTGGTGTGCAGCAGGGGCACATATGTTTTATTGCATGGACTGCTGTGCTGTCTAGGTGTTTTTGAACTACAAGGCCCATAGACCCTCACCACTGACAAATTTGGCTGGGGCTAGTGGGAATTTATAAATCAAAATCATTTGGAGAGCCACTTTTTCCCATTCTTCTTTCTAGGTCCTTCCTTAGATTTTTGACTGAGCTCCCTTTCATGCCAATGCCTTCTATCTTATAGGGCTGAGAGAGGAAAAAGAGAGCCATTATCGTCTCCTTGACCTCACTGGAGAAAAAGTGATGCCCAGTAATGGGTCATTACTGAACAAATAAATGTAAAAAAAGTTTATATACTGTACTTCCCCTATGGCACTTAAAGCACACTCTGGGAGACTTACAATTTAATTATGCAGGCTCCACATTGCTCCTGCAGAAAGCGGGTAGTCAAGTTACCAATCTTGGAAGGCTGAGTGAACTTTGAGCCAGCTACCTGGGATTGAACCCAAGTCATGAGTTGAGGTTTGGCTGCAGTACTGCAGTTTAGCCACTGTGCCACAAGGCTCATGTTTTATGAAGCATCCATGATTAAGATGTCCTGATCAGTCTTTGATACTGGTCACCTGGCTTGTTCTTCCATAGTGGATTTTTCTGTAATAGTCACCAGTAGATTGAATCAGAACTTTTAACTTGTGGGAATAATAATGATGATAATGGTAGTACTAACAAGAAGAATGTGCTGTCAAGTCAGTTCTGACCCATGGCCACCCTTCTCAGGGATCTCTAGGTATAGAGTGCTCAGAAGTGGTTTATCAGTCCCTTCTTCTAGGGTCATCCTGGGACCGTGCAGCTTGCTCAAGGCCACATAGGCTGGCTCTTTTCCTGGAAGACATGGGGTTGGCGATGATCACACTTCCAGCCTGTGGCTCTGAAGGTTATTTGCTTAACTCAGTTGTTTGCCAACACTGCAGACGTAATTGGTTACTTCCCTGTTATATATTCTAAGATAATGGATCTCCTAGCAGAACTGGAGCTTTCTTCCTGTTGCAAAAGATAGATTTCATATGTGGGGTGAGGTTAAATTCAGTGAGGTCCATGGTGAGAGAAAAGATGAAAGCTTCTCTCCCCTATTCTTCTGTCTGGCTCAGCACTTTCAGT